ATACTATTACAAATCAACGGATAAAACCCCTTGTCACCAGTGGAGTTGATACTATCCTCAGTAAGTTGCTGCGAAGCCTGGAAACTGACCAGATAACAGTTAACTTCAGTAAGTTGTTGCGAAGCCTGGAATCTGACCAGATAACAATTAACTTCATTCTCTCAAAAATTTACTGTGAATCCTGGAATCCAATCAGATAAAAGTTAAACTCAGTAAGTTGTTGCAAAGTCTGGAATTTGACCAGATAACAGTTAACTTCAGTAAGTTGTTGAGAAGCCTGGAATCCGACCAGATAACAAATAACTTCATCCACTTCAAAAATTTGTTGTGAAGCCTGGAATCCGATCAGATAACAGTTAAATTCAGTAAGTTGCTGTGAAGCCTGGAAACTGACTAGATAACAGTTAACTTCAGTAAGTTGTTGCGAAGCCTGGAAACCGACCAAATAATAATTAACTTCATTTTCTCAGAAATTTACTATGAAGTCTGGAATCAGGCCAGATAATAGTTAAATTCAATAAGTTTTTGTGAAGCCTGGAATCCGACCAGATAACAGTTAACTTCAGTAAGTTGTTGCGGAGCCTGGAATCTGACTATAAAACAATTAACTTCATCCACTTCAAAAATTTGTTGTGAAGCCTAGAATCTGACCAGATAACAGTTAAATTCAATAAGTTGTTGCGAAGCCTGGAAACCGACCAGATAATAGTTAACTTCAGTAAGTTGTTGTGAAGCCTGGAAACCGACCAGATAACAATTTACTTCATTCTCTCAGAAATTTGTTGTGAAGCCTGGAATCCGACCAGATAATAGTTAGCTTCAATAAGTTGTTGCGAAGCCTGGAATCCGACCAGATAAAAATTAACTTCATTCTCTCAAAAATTTGTTGCGAAGCCTGGAATCCGACCAGATAACATTTAACTTCAATAAGTTATTGCGAAGCATGGAACCTGCCAAATAACAATTAACCTCAGAAAGTTGATGCGAAGCCTGGAATCCGACCAGATAACAGTTTAACTTCATCCTCCCCGGAAAGTTGCTGCAAAGCCTGGATTTTGACCAGATACCAGTCAACTATCCTCTCCATGACAAAATTTTAACCATCTCTTTAATCCCCAGTCAAGGTAAATAAGAATTAGATTCCCCAGTAGAGCGATGGACAACCAAAGGTTCCTGAACTCTATTCCCCAAGCAGAAATCAACATTCTCCGCAGAATTTCCTTGAACAATAAGAAGGAATCCCCAGCAGAAGCATTCTAGACAAAGTTGAAGATACACAAATTTCATCTCTAGCAGTAGTCTGGGAGTTAGTCTCCCAAAACTCCCCAGCAGTAGTTAGGAATTTACTTTCCCAAACAAAGATACACTTCAACAACATTTCACATTTCATACATCATAGCATATGCATACGAGACGTATATAGCATTCTCATTCATTCTGAGAGCATCATTACACAATACATACATCACGCCCTTGCATGAAACTAACTTTTATCTTTTCAGGATGGTTCCCGAACAGGTAGATCTCGTCAACAACCTATCATCTGTCAAATATAATCAGCCAAAGCTTCTCTTCTAGATACAGTCCAGATACGATCCAGAGACGGGGGACATTTTGACACTTATTCCAGATTCTCCTCTAGAAACAGTTTAGATATGATCCAGATACGGATGATATTCTAATACTTATTCCAGATTCACTCTAGAAACGGTTCAGATATGATCCAGATATGGATTTCATTCTGATACTTATTCCAGATTTTCTCCTCGATACAGTTCAGATACGATCCAGAGATGGATGTCATTCTGACACTTATTCCAGTTTTTCTCCTAAATATAGTTCAGATATGATCCAGATGCGGATGTCATTCTGACACGTATTCTAGATTCTCTCTAGAAATGGTTCAGATACGATCCAGATACGGATGACATTCTGATACTTATTCTAAATCCTCTCTAGAAATGGTTCAGGTACGATCCAGATACGAATGTCATTCTGACACTTATTCCAGATTTTCTCCTCGATACAGTTCAGATACAGTCCAGAGACGGATGTCATTCTGACACTTATTCCAGTTTTTCTCCTAGATATGGTTCAGATATGATCCAGATGCGGATGTCATTCTGACACTCATTCAATATATCTTTCAAATACAGTTTAGATACGATCCAAATGCGTATGTCATTCTGATACTCATTTAATACATCTTTCAAATATAGTTCATATACGATCCAGATGCGGATGTCATTCTGACACTCATTTAATACATCTTTCAAATACAGTTCAGATACGATTCAGATGCGGATGTCATTCTGACACTCACTCAATACATCTTTCAAATATAGTTCAGATACGATCCAGATGCGGATGTCATTCTGACACTCATTCAATACATCTTTCAAATACAGTTCAGATACGATCTAGATGCGGATGTCATTCTGACACTCATTCAGTATATTTCTCAAATACAATTCAGATACGATCCAGATACGGATGTCATTCTGACACTCATTCAGTACATCTTTCAGATACAAGTCAGATACGATCCAGCTATGGATGTTATTCTGATACTCATTCCACTACATCTTATGACTGAGATTAAATCGACCAAAGATTTATTCTGATGCTTCTCCTAGTTACAGTCAAGCTTAGACTTAGTCTAATTTCTATCAGCAATCACCTTTGGATGGGCATCTATAAGCCCATCTCCGACAACTCTCTATTATCTCTCCAAATGGAATCTCTAAGCCCATTCCCGATAATCAACAAACAGTTCACCTCATGCACAAGCGAGTGCAAATTTTTGGGCACTTAAGTGTTCAATCATTTTCCACCTTCAAGTCACGAATGGCGGACTCGCCAATCTATGTCTTCAAGTTTAAGAAGATTGAACAGGGGAAGCTGTTGCACCCCAAAATTATCACTCTCTTTTCTCAAGACATTTCACAAAGGATCTCCAATGCTCAAGGATTCTCAAGGAATTGATCAAACAAAATCACCTTCGAAACACTGAGACCACAAATTAGGGTTTTGATTCAGAACAACTGATCACTGACTTTTGACCTAATACACAATCTATTGGTTTGAAACATGGTCTCAAGGATTGAAATGCATCATTTTGACCTAATTTCATATATCAATTCATTTCTCAAGATCAATTGATTGATAGCTGAAATTTAGTCAACTGATGAAAAGTCAACTGATACACCAAAAGTTAAACTTTGACTTTTTGGTCAATATTAAGTTTCAAAGATCAAAATTAATCAAGAAGTCAAGAAAGTCAAAAGTCAATTTGAAAAGTCAAACTTTTCTAAGTGTTTTGTACATGATAATTTCACTACTTCATGTCAAATTTTCACCAAGATGCATGATGATTCAAAGGAAACTTTCAACATAAAAGTTGTAGATCTTGATGAATTCTACAATTTTGTATTAGTGGATTGATGTCTACAAAATGCTTAGATTTGAAGATATAAGCCCATGAAGTCATGACATTTTCATCTAATACTTAGAGAAATTTCCAACAGATTTTGGTCAGGATTTTATCCTAACTTGTTAGCATTTTTTCACATAGTTCCAAGATGATTTTGTCAAAATGACCAACATGAAAGTCATAGAGGATATTTCAAACTTTCCAAAACACCCAAGTCAATTCTTCCACCGCATTACAGACATATTTGATAGATATGGGCTTTAAGCCCAATATAAATATCTATTGAAATTTGTATTAATTAATTTTTAAATGTTTAATTAAATAATTAATTATTCTATAAAAAATAATAAATGAAATTTCCTAGTTATGATTGTCAAGTAATTGAAAATAACTTTTTTTATCTTAAACATCCTTGCCACATTTACAAAAGTAGAGGAATATAAAAAAAAAGAATTTTAAAATGGAAAACTAGAAGTTAAAAACATATCAAAATAAAAAGACCAAAAACATATTTAAAACCTAAATTATTTAAGAGAATTTAAAGAGAACATCAATATAGTGCACCCTCGTATAGCACATTCTTAACTTAAGTTTAACTAAGGGAGAACTTTTTTTTGGTATATTTTGTATTATCAATTTTGGAGACTTAGGATTTGTTTGGAAGTTTGAAGGAAAAGGGATAAGAGGTTTTGAAAAAAAGAAAGAATTGAGTGAAAATAATTTTGGTTAGGAGAATTTTGGAGGGTTAACTTTTATTCATAATATCAAAAACCTTTTAAGTTGGAAAAACCTTTTAAGTTTCGGAAGTTTTCTTCTTCCCTCCCCTCCAAACTCGCAAACAAAGCCTTAGTGGCAAATTTTTTAGACTACAAAATTTCTCTACTATATTTCACATATGTATTATTCTTATTTTTAGTAAAAATAGATTAATTAATTATAAAATATCACATCTTTTTAACTTCTTAATAATATTAAAAAAATAAAAATAAATTAACACTAAAATTTAAGAGAAAAAAAACAATGAGTGAAGTCTTTGCCAAATATTGTATTAAATGTCAAGACCAACGGCAGTAACTCTTGTTGCTAAACTTTATTTTGCTTCTAGTGAACCATGTCACACTTATAATGTTGATGATTCCAGCTTAAACCACAATTCTGTATTTGGGGATCAACTTCTGTCACAACTTTCCTAAGGCTATAGTTAGATATCATAAAATGAACCAAGTGAATTAGAACAAAATGAAGATTCATTTGTATTGTTTTGAAATTTCATGACAAAATAAAGCAAATTCTTCGTTCCGCGCAAGTCGAAGAGAAAGAAATATGATGGATAAGTGATGGACTAGAATAGAAACCATACCTCTCCGTCCGATTTTAATTGATCCAAACAGTAAAAGAGTTTATTAAAACTAAATTCAATCCATAAGCCTCAATGCATCATGGAAGTTATCAATTATTTCTATTCCAAAACATAAACTCCAATGAGTTCCTCTGATACAAATAAAAGACTATACAAATGCATTCAATAAAAATGTTTAAACTTAACCATCAACTGACAAAAACAACCTCAACCAGTGCTTGATCCTGCTTTCTTCACCATAGCAGCATGTTTCTGGCCAACAAGGTGCAAATTGAAAACTGTCTCGCTATTACACACCACATTGCATAAAGTACACGTTTTAATATTATTAACCATTGCTCCTCCTTCCACAACTTTACGTTTCTTTGACTCGATATCAAGTTCCGATGCCTTCTTTGCTTTTGGATTATCGGTACCTGGCTTTTCCTGTGGTCCGATTAAAGTATTTGAAGCATTGGCAGTGGAACTGGTGCCAACGTCAATTTTCGGATTCGACAGTTTCTCCAAGTTCTTCAAGTGTTTCTTTCCGGCCAAGTGTGTAATGTACATATCTCTGCTGTTACAATTAATCTTACAGGTTTCGCACCATGCCGATTGAGCAACTTTGATTTTCTTAGCAGCTTTTTGAAACGGAGGAACTCCAATACGCTTGAATTCGGCAATAGATGGACCAATGCCTCCATTAGACATCAAGCAAACCTATGAACAAAAAGTGGTCAATTCAGAAACATTACGCTAAGGGTTTTCTACCATACATTTTTCATGCAGTTCAACAGGTAAAACAATACATAAAATTCACAAACAATAACTACGATATAGAATGAGGAAAAAAGTAAAACATACAAAAGGATAATGTAATCAACAATCACCTGAGCTGCGTGCTTTTTCCCAGCAATATGTTTGATATATGTGTCGTGACTAGTGCACAAAACATTGCAAGTTGTGCAAACCTTTGACTGTTCCACCTGTTTCTCAGCCTTTGATTGATTGACTACAGGACCAATTAACGCTTGTACTTGGATGCAACTTGCACCGTTTTGCAAATTCTTCTGATGTTTCTTTCCGGCTACGTGCTTTTCATATGAATCTTTGCTATTGACATCTATTTTACACACTTCACACCTCAACGCTTGGGTGAATTTGGCTTGGTTAGGCAACATTGTTGTAGTTTCATTGCCATAAATTTGTTGTGGCCATGTAGCATTCCACGCAGAAGGCGCAGAAGTCTCGTATGATGAACCAACAGCCTGCAATATTAGAACCATTAGAATACAAAACCTGGGGAAAATCAGAAGCTTCCGATAAAATTTACCTCTCAAAATGATTTTCGAAAAGAATCAGAATTACAAAAATGAAAAAACATACAAGTGATTAGCACGTGAAGATACTCACGTTCATGCTAATTACAACCGTGACTTTGTTTGGCTGCTAACTCTACTTCTTTAAACATGTTATCCTATTCAGTATTGTCAACCATGAAACGCAGAAAATAACAAGTTGTTCAAATTCCGCTAAAATAAAACCGCTATTTGACAAGACTTTGTAATAAATATAGTATCAGCGGAACAATTGCGCATTGTTCAAACTCCACATCAATATAGTGCTGCTATTTGACAACGCTGATTCTATTGGAGTTCATTATCAATTCTTAGGAAAATTCTCAAGTGCCACTTCTAGAAGACTTTTAAACAGTATATAAGTAGAGATTGTGGTCACAATATGAATCACTAACACCGGAAACACGACACTAACATTGTCGACATCAATAATAATTTGAAAATATGATAAATTAAACATAATCACAAGTGTCAGTATCGGCGTCTGAGACACCTTTTTTCAGTGTTGTTTCTGAGACACTTTTTCAGAGGTGTCAGTGTTGTATAGAGTGCTACATAGGTCACAAATTTTAATATTGTAAAGAATTATGGTAAAACACAGCTTATGCAATCTCAACTTCAGTCGCAGAGACATCGAAAACCATGATGCTGCGTCCACCATTGCGGTATCGATCTATTTTAAAAACCCTAATTATGACAATCATGTCATCACCTTTTCTTTCTCTTGCAATCATATTATCCAAAAGAAATTAAGATGAATTCCAACACATATTGGAACTCCATGTCATCATCATCAACAAGTCAAAAAATCTATCAAAACTTAATTAAGATAAAAAGTTTCAAAACCCTAACAACAACAATAAATCAACGAAAATAAGAAATCGACCCAAATGACATAACATAAGAAAAATCAAATTTTGACACGAAATTCGAAAAGTTAGATCAAAAGGGTAAGCAGTACTGACATTGCCAAGATCATAACCGACGGGTTCAGGTTGTTGAGCGAGCCAATTCTGATAACCAGAAGCGGGAGCAGAAAAAGGTGTTGAATTTGCAATTGGGTTAGTGCCGGGAGGATGAAGCGAAGAATCTGAAGTGGGAGGGAAAAAGGAATAGTAGGGTTGTTGTTCTTGTTCTTGTTGCTGTGAATTGAAGGGTTGAGATTGGTAGTGTGGTTGAGGGTACATTTTGGAAGAATTCGATTGTAGGGTTGTTGTTGCAAAGGAATATTAGTCTAGTTTGTATGTTTCATTGCAATTCATTATTGATTTGCAGCACATGACAACACAAGATCATTTCGGCATAAGAATATCAATATGGCGAGGCGGGTACATCTTTTACCTCCTCCCAAACCCAAACTCCAAACTCAAATTATATATATATATATATATATATATATATATATATATATATATATATATGTGTTTTTTTTTTTTTCAACTTAAACTTAATCGGATTAAATAATTAAATTCAATTAAATGTTCAAGTCCAATATGATATAGAGAATTTAATCGATCACCCCTAGTTATATCTGACACCTTTAGAATTTGAGTGAATAGACTATATTATTCTTCACACTTTTTAAATAATTTTTCAAAATTTATTTAAAATTTTCGCATATCTCAGAGTTTCTGAGCGATACTAGAAATTTTACTCTTCGTATCAGTAATTTAATTAAAAGTAAGATTTTTTTTTCTAGAAATCATGGGTTTTTATTGGGAATTTCGGAATTTCCATTAAAACACTTTGTATTTATATCAGAATTTTCAGAAATATCGATATATATATTGATGAGTTTTTATCGAGAACTTCAAAATTTCCGGTATATACTCATATAATTGAACTGTAAATTTTGAAAACTCCGGTAGTTCAGAATGTTAAAAATTGTATGAAAAATTTTAAAATTGGTGGAAAATCACTGTTTTTTTTTTTTTTTTGCATTTTTCCATTTTGCAATAAAGACCATGGGAAAAGACGGCATTATTGCAAGCAAGATCATGGTTAAAGCGACAACCCGTGCTAGGGTTGATGAGGCAGAGTCTTCTCAACTACGGGATGAGAGAGTAGTTCCAACCAATTCTCACTGAAAACGATCGATTAAGCAGTTCTGTGCACCCCGTAGCACCCGACGCCAAACAGTTAGATTAGACGAGCAACCCATAGATGATGAAGATGAGCATGTTGTTGAGGTTGTTCATACTGAGGAGGTGCAAGGTCATAATGTTATAAGGTGACCGAGATGGATGCGACCCTTATTGCTGGTGAGGTGGTCGATACAACTGTTGCCCCATTGTTGATGAGGTGGCCAAGACAGATGCGGCCCCTATTGTTGATGAGGTGGATGCCACAAATGCGGTCCATATTGCCGATGAGGTAGAAACAGCTGACATCGAGGCTATTACTACTCGTGATACAAATGTTATGACTCCTACTTCGACGAAGTCATATGTGCACATTGACGGAGAGTTCTCTGACATATCAATTATGGCAGGGAAAGATATATATATTTTTTGTTTAACTTTGATTTATTTATTATTGATACTTGATGTGTTGAAACTAACTTATAGTATTTTTAAATTTGTTTGTTACAAGATCGGGTCCTGTTGAAGGTGACATCCCACTGGTCAAAGATGAAGAACTTCTGAAATATTTTGATGCTTGAGCAGGTTAGGAGGATTGTTATTGATTTTAGGCTCCTAGCATTTGCCGATTGCTTACTCACCATGCTTGAAGCTTCACTTTTGTCTGCCTTTGTTGAGGGATGGCACAAGGAAACATCTTCCTTTCATCTTCCATTTGGGGAGATGACAGTCACTTTGGATGATGTCTTCTCCCTGTTCCATCTCCCTATCACATGTATATTTTTAATCGCTCTTGTTATTAACCAAAAACTCGTATGCACGACTTCGAGAGTTACTGAGGAGGTTGTGCTATAGGAGTTTGATTATAATATGGGGATACCCTTAACTTGACCAGAGTAGAGATTCAAATAGATGTTGGTTCTGCCCTCGTTCAGTTTTATGACCCACCGCTAAGATGCTTCACCTTCCAATACTTCCAGCTAGCACCGGCTCTGGAAGAATTTGATAGAATTCTGAACTTTTCTAAAGAGAAAGCCTATGTAGGTATCAGACAAACTATTGAAGTCATAGTCTTAGCAAAGGGCTTAGGTTTCCCTTATTCTGAGTTAGTTCAAAATTATCGAAGAGAAGGCCCGATACAAGGAATCAAAAGAATATACCTAGAAGCCAAGACGCTCGAATTTGCTAATTATAAAGAATGGGAGCTTTGTGTCTATTGTTTAGGATTACTTGTGTTTGGTGTAATTTTATTCCCACGGACTGTGGACTATATTGACCCTGCGATCATTAGCATATTTTGGGATGCGAAAGTCTTCAATACAGATCCAACTTCCGCTTTGCTTGCTGACATTTATTACACCTTGCATAAAATGTATGAAAAAAGAAAAGGCACTCTAAATTGTTGCATTCCACTTCTGTATACTTTGTTCATGACCCATCTTTACAAAGAAGACTATATGATTCCAAACTTGACCAAACGCGAGTGGCCTCAGAAATTAAGGTCTCTCACTGCAAACTCGGTATTATGGTATGCAAGGAAGTTGGATATTGGTGATATCACTATTAGCTGTGGGGAATTTCCTAATGTTCCGTTGATCGGATCTCGAGGCTGTATTAATTACAACCCTACTTTGGCCCTACGACAGTTAAGGTATCCTTTGGAAGACAGACCTTCAAACGAACAACTCCAACCATTGATCATCCACGACATGGGTGTAAATGACCAAGGGTTGCTCAACAAGGTTATTCGGGCTTGGAATAAGGTTAATAAGAGGAAAGCTGAAAGAAAGAATGCCATAGCAAGAGAACCCTACACTAGATGGGTATGAGATAGGGTGCAAATTATCAAGCTTCCATTCGATATAGATCCAGAGTACAAGTCAGAAGTCCCAGAAATCACGCCCATATCCTTGGAAGAAATCGACGATTTGAAGAGTGCCCTAAAGCAAGCTCAGAGGGAAAAAGAAGAACTATAACTCAACCTTCTCAATCTGACCAAAGAAAAGAAGCAGATGCAGCTTATAATTGAGTCAAAAGACCAACAAATTGAGAGAGATCAAAAGGCATTATAAAAGGAGAGTCTCAAATGGAAGCATACGACTGAAGGAATTTTGAGTGCAACCTTCAATCTAGATTCCCACAACCAAAGGTTAGAAGATGTTGCTACTGAAATCGGGAGGTTAACCAGATGGTATGAAAAGGAAACACACGACAAGAAGGTGCTAGAGGAAAATCTAAGAATCCAGATCCAGAGTTTGGTGCAAGCTTCCTTAGATCAAGAGGAGCAAATAAAGTACCTCACCACTGAACTTCAAGATAGCCAAGAATCAGAGGTCAAAGAACGCCTTAAAAGGATAGAAGCAGAAAGACTCCTGGTTCAAAGAAATGAAGAATATGAGCATATGTACGTAGAGCTAGGAGGTCTCCAAAAAGATTTCCTTATTCAACAGAGACTTTATACAGAATTGAGGGATGAAAAGATGTATTGGGAAGAGCAGTATACAAAGATCACCCAAGCCGGGAGAGATAACCATAAGATAATCCTGCATCTTTATCAAGAGTATCATTATTACAAATCCCAAGCATGAAAGACTCGCCTTCCTAGCCAACAATCTCATTGAGGATATCCCTAGAAGTTTGAGAGACGCGGAAAGTGTAATGGTTACTCTTCCAAAAGATAAACATATACCTAAGTGAATAAGACATTTAAAACAATAAACCATCACAGGTTCACACATAATCATACGCATGCATGCATTCGCAAACACCTGCATATCATATCAAAGCTCATCTCGGTTTTTCAAAATCTCTCCAGTTAAACCATTGGTAGAAGAAGATCACCACCTCCTTGGCCTCCATATCAAACAAGGGTCTATCAGAAAAAAGCAACGGAATAAATCGAGGAGAATCAAGTTGCATTCAAGGAGGATCTCGACCAAGTAAAGGGTGATGTGAGTTCAATGAAAGGAGATCTGAGTCAAGTTCTCCTAGCTTTGAAGAACATCATTGACAGACAAGATCAAATTCCCAGGGTAGCTTTCAAAGAAGTAGCTCAAACGATTGGTGCATCAAGCGGTCGCCAACTAAGAAAAGAGCCAGATACAGGTCCTCAAAAGTCCGCCATGGCCCAAAAAGAGACAAGAGAAGCTGAAACTGAAGGGTTTGTCCCACCACCATCAAAAGCAGGGGCATCACATACCCTACAAATTCCAATCAACAATGCAGATAACTACTTGGACTTGCAGTATGGAGACCACGACCTAGAGGATGTCAATCAGGCACCCTTGAAGACAACTGGTACTCAGGTTATCGATAACTCACTGGTGATAAATCATTATAAGGCTCTGGAAGAAAGGCTGAAAGCTGTGGAAGGTTTTGATGCTTTCGAAGTATATGCTCTCGAAATGGGCCTAATGCCTGATGTGGTAATTCTGTCGAAGTTTAAAGTACTTGACTTTGGAAAATACAAAGGGCTCACTTGTCCAAGAAATCATTTGTGCATGTATTTCAGGAAGATGCATGCCCATGCCCACGATCAAAAGCTGATGGTTCACTATTTTTAAGACAGCTTAAGCGGGGCATCTCTAGATTGGTATATGCAGTTGGAGCGAGTTCACATTCAAACCTAGGCAGATCTTGCTAATGCTTTCTTAAAGAATTATAAATATAACCTGGACATAGCACGTACCTGCATGCAACTCCAGAACTTATCCCAGAAGAAAGAAGAATCCTTCAAAGAATATGCTTAGAGATGGAGTGAGATGGCATCCTGTGTGCAACCACCATTGTTGGAGAAGGAGTTAGTAGATATGTTCATGGGAACCTTGCAAGGGCTATATTATGAGAATATGGTTGGAAGTATATCTTTGAGATTCTCAGATCTAGTGACTATCAGAGAAAGAATTGAGACTGGAATAAAGAGTGGGAAAATACTAGTGGGGGCCATCAAATGGCCCCTATAATTCAAAAAGACATGCTCCGAACTTCCCAAAAAGAAAAGAGGGAGAAATTAATGATGTAGAATCGTAACCAAGGGCACAACAACCATTAATGATCCCACAAGGATAGAAACAAGGCAGATTTGGAAGATCGCAAAGAAATTTTGA